CCCCCCCCGGGGTCGTGTCACGAAGGTTCGGGCTTACGCTACTACCGGCCGCTGCGCAGCTGTCACCTAGCGCTTGGGAATGTGTGGTCTGGTGCGGATTCAGCCAACTACCGGCTCGCGACACCAGCGCCACGTAGTGGCGACGGTACATTCTTTTTAGACATACTGTACGTGGGTCACTTGATAGTGCTCATCCGGCGTTGACTCAGCTCGGTCCGAACGCTGGCTGTAAAAGTTCGGTCTTTCGCAGTAGCGTCCACTGTGTGAATAGATCGGTCGCTAGGCGATGATAGGCATCACCGTTGGCCACCTTTCCAACATGTGCTACCTACCGGAGCTCGTTTCGTTCCCCCCGCGGCAGGTGGTGTCGATCCGGCCCGGGTCGGCCCTCGCTCACCTGCCCATTGTACGGGCCCGAACCCAACCGGACACGAGCAGGACCGGTGAAAGGGGCGACATTCATCTCTCCAGCCCCCGTCCAGCTGCCTACCCTCGGGATGGTATCCCGCTCAGTGGTCAGCCTAGACCCAACGAGAAAGGGTCAGAGACCCGCTAACGAGGTGATTAAATGGGGTTACATGGGCGCCAAGGAGGTCCTGATGAAGTGAGCGCCCATCTGATATCACCTCAGGTGAAGTTTTTTTGTGAATGGGCTGTCCGAGGCCCACTAAATTCGTTCCACCGCCCGTCGGTTCGTGACAGCGGGTCGGATACCTGATGTCTGGCGGTGGTCTGTGTGGACGTTTACTGACTGGCACCAGCTGAGTTCTGGCTCCCCGGCGCCCGCTCGTTCGGGAGCTGTTTCAATTAGCCTGATTCGGCTGGCCGCGTTTCACTTCCGTTTGTGGCCGCTGCCGGCTGCCGTTGGCCGGCGATGGCCCGTTGCTGGGTCGGTGATGGGTGAGTGGTGGGCCAGTGGTGGGTCAGTGATGGGCCAGCGATGGGCCAGTGGTGGGTCTGTGGGATGGAGTGGCCCGTTGCTGGGTCAGTGATGGGCCGTGGTTGGTTTGTGTGGCAGAGTGGAACCCCGCCCTCCACCGAGAGCCGCCGACAGAGTGGCCTGCCGCCTGACCGAGCCGGCGTCGGCTGCTTCATGTTCAATGGCGTGGAAACTGCCGCCCGTCTGCGGGGCTCGGCGGCGCCGCCCGTCTGACTAGCCGCTGATGGCTCGGCGGGGGGCGACTGACCGCGGCCAGAGCGTGCGCGCTGCCATCCATTCAGCAGCGACAACCGCCGGCCCTGTCCGCCGAGCTGTCCCTGGGTCGGGCGGCTGGGATGGAATCGTGCCGCGCCTGAATGGACCGGACGGGCGGACAGTCAGACGAATTCAGCCGGCGGGCTAATGCTAATGTGGTCGGCGCCCCCGCGCGGCGCCAATGTGATTACTCGATTAGCTCTGGATTAAATGACCAGCCTGCCGCGAGCGGACCGATACCAGGTGACGGGTTCATCCTGTGCCACTCGGCTCGGCCGATCGTGTGTCGTCCCAGTGTCGTGGGGAACGACAGGGTGGTCGGGAATGCGGTACCGATCTGTCCCGTGGTCCGTCGACCGTGGCCGGCGCGGGTTGTGCCCGCGGGCCGCGTCGCTGGTGGTCCGATGACGCTTGCGTCATCGGACAAGCTTGTAAGGTCGACCAACCGATCGGGAGGGCGTGTTGGACATTGGCGGTGACGCGGTGTGACGACCGTCATCGCCGGCCCTGGGTGGCGGCCTGAGATGGGAAAAATCTCCGTCGGGCTGCCTTGGTGTGACGAGGGGTTGGGAGCGCGGCGCCATGACTGGCAGAAGTCACTCTGCCGAGCTGGTAGCCGTGTGGGAACCGGCAGCCGCTGGGGAAAAGCCGGAGCAGCTCGCGACTGGAGGCGACCGACCATGAACTGGCTGAGAGCTGACTGCGCTTCGCCTGTTCTCAGGCTGACTGGGCGCGGTCAGGTGAACGGAACTGGAGTCCGGTCCGGATCAGGTGACCTGTCGGTCGCTTCCAGGCGTGAAGGGCACGTCAGGGTGACCTGTACCGATAGCTCGCTCTTTAGCTGCCGCAGCCTGACCGGACCGACCTCTCCTCACCTGACTGACGTCCGAAGGTGGCTATATTGAACCGCGTCTACAGCCTGCGCTGTTAACTCATTATCCCCTGCGGCGGCAGCGACCCGTCAAAGCTCGTGATTGCCTCCCGAGACCCGGATATCGACCGGTGGCAGCTCGGCGCCGGCGGCCGGGGTGGTGAGCCTACGCCGTCTCAGGTCCACAGTCTCACGTGGCACCGGTGCTGCGGGGTAATTATAACGCACTTAGTCATCCGGCCGACGATGCGCCCGCGGCGGGGTCGATGGTGCCCGTGTGAGGCGGCGGTGAGGAGCGACGACGCGACGGGGCGAGGCGGGCGGAGACGCCGGGGTGGGGCTGCGGGCGTTCGATGAAGGCGGCGACGCTGGTGGCTGGTCTTGTTAGTGGGTCTGGGAGCTTTAATCACGACGGGGTGTCGGCAAAGCGGCAGGACTTAGAGACACTGCTGAAATGGCCGATAGACGGCGGTGATTGGACCAATCCTGGTGTGTGTGTTGTCAAGGGCTCGCGGTTTTCGACCGTGTCAGCAGAGCCAGTAGTTTTGCTACTGCAGAACCTGACGTGGTTTGTCTACTGTCAATTGATGTAGAGCACAACGCAGACAGAGTGAGCGATGGTGCGGCTATCATTGGAATCCCTTGTCTTTCTAACTCCCCGTGATTCGCCCGTGACTTCCCATCGCTCGTCAGTTAGCGATATACCTACATGTTTCTCCACTTCTTTTCGAATGAACGCCCGCTCTGTTGTCGACGGCCGTCCATCCTGGTCAGTGTGCCGGGTGGAGTGGCCGGTGTGCTGGCGCGGCAGTGATGGCGATGGTGGTGACGTTTATATCTCGCGGCTGAAGTAATGACCACATAATGTGCCCCCGATCCGGGCGGAGGGCGGCGCGCGGCACCACGGCCACCCAGCTCCACTTTCGCTGCGGCCGGCCGACTGACACACATCATCGGACTGAGCTTCTGTCGGCCGGCGGACGGCGGCGCCGAGATGCCGCCCGTCTCCCCCACGGGTCGCGGTCGATTGTCCCCGCTCCACCTTCACCGGGTCCATCCGACTCCATGGGTCCGGGCACTGGGTCGGGTGGGCGTCGGGCGGCGACTGCTGACTGTCGCTGAGGGTACTGCTGAGAGCTGAGTCAGTGTCTGCTGGCGGCGACGGCGGCTCAGCGCGCACCTGCCGGCCGCCGGTCCGATCCAGACAGGGACCGGGTGGCGGCCGGCGCCGCTAACTCGCAGCATCGATCGGTGGACCCCGTCTGTCGCTGGTGGGCTGGGTCTGTCCAGCAGAGGTCAGCGGCGCAGTCCGACGGACCGGGCTCGTCCCTCCCCTGGCGAGTGGCCCACTCCGGCCGGAAATGGGCATCGGGCTCGACGGACGCGGACCGTCGATAGCGACGATATGGCCGACAATGCGAGTCTTGTGGGCCGTCGTCGAAGTATCAGCGTCGCGACTGTTGGTCTGGCATCGGCAACGACGGCGACCGATAGTCGCGACCGTGAGGATTTTCAAAACCCGGATTGTCTCCTCGCAGTCTCAAGGCGCGACCGTTTGGGACCATCGCGTGATGAGCTGAATAGAGTCTATCACGCCGTCTTGAAACTTTAACACAATGTGTAGCTATTCCTGGGTCGCAGACTGACATTCGGGAGCGAGAGCCAACAGAAGTTTAAACTCTGTTTTCTAATCGAATTATCGCCGACATGGGAGGCCTCTGCTGCGCCATTGTGACTAGAAAGAGCCGTAATTTTAATGCTCAAGACTGGCCTTAACTGCGCTACCTCTTTCATCGCTCCGTTTCCCGCATTTTCCACTTTTTTGCATTCCATAAAACGGTGCTTTGCTGGTTAATTGTTTATGCTAACCTCTGCAGCCATACCGGTAAAACCGTGTCATCACACAACTTTCCGGAGATAATGACTGAGCTGCTATAGACTTCTTGACCATTGGGATTTGAGAATTGAGAGCCTGTATCTAGAGCCTTCGGTCTCTTCGGGCTCCCTTGGCCCATCCGTTACTCTGCAGTGGCGCAGTTGCGGACTTTCCCGTTCCCAGAGGCATTGTTTCATGCAGTGGTCTTTGGGTGAACTGTTCCCCCCAAAAATGTCTGTGGCTCAGCACCACTGTGGGAAGAGTGTTCTACCGTGCTTAGCTGTGCTCTGTAATGCCGCACTGTGCCGTATTGTGCAATACCGTGCCGTTCCGTGTTGTGCCGTGTCGTACCCTGTCCCGTGTTGTGTGGTGCTGTGCCGTGCCTTACTGTACTGTGATGTGCTGTACCGCGCTGGGTGATGCCGTCCTATACCATGCCGTACCGTACTGTGCTATGATGTACCGTGTCGCTCTGTGCTAGGCTATGCACTATGCAGCGCTGTGTGAGTGTCAACACTGTTGGTTGCACCACCGGTAATTGCCGCCGGAGGCTGGGACCGCAGTCCGTGACGCCTTTCTAGTCGACTGTTTGTGTGCGTGCCGGAGACGCAGAAGCGTCGCGCAACGGCCGCAATTCGGTCACACGGGTTGCGTGACGAGCTCAGAGAAGCGTGACTGATGTGCTGGAAATTTGCAACGCTTGCCACGTGCGGGTGGTGGGACAACAAAATTCTTAGCTCTCGCCTTTCGGGATATTATCTCTCACGCCAGCTGTGTAGACTTTTTGCCAATTTGGCGGTCATTTGTGTGTGTCGTGATTCCGGTGACATTGTGCTAATTGTGTCTTGTGTGCCGCGTGACTATGCGTGACCTTATTGGCCGTACCCGAAAATATCCCGCCATTGACCAGTGATAAGTTATCGTTCCCGCTGTATGTCATCACATATCAATGCGCCGGCTATGTGTGTCGTGCTAATGCTGATCCCACAGGCGGCCGGAGATAGTGCGCCCGCCGACGCCGTGTGACCGGGCGTGACCTGACCTTTGCCGGCCGACAGACGGTGTGCCCAAGGTGTACTACTTCGGGCCGTGCGGCAGATACAACGCGCTGGTCATGGAGCTGCTCGGACCCAGTCTCGAGGACTTGTTCGATCTGTGCGATCGCAAGTTCTCGCTTAAAACTGTGTTGTTGATAGCTATTCAATTAGTAAGTACGGCCGTGCTGGTCCGCCGCGGCTGGCGCCCGTCACCGCTCGCTCGCTGGCTCGCTCGCTCTGCGCCCGTCTGTTCATCTGTCTGCCTGTCCGCATGTCCGTCCGCCCACTTACTGCCTGTTCACGTTCCCACAGTTACGCCTTGCCGCCTGTCCGCTTGTCCGTCTTGGCTTCTGTGTAGCTCGTGGCGTCCGTCCGGCCGAGTCCCAATGACCTTCCCATCCTGCTCCTTGACCTGACCTGACCCGTGTCCAGCCTCTGCCGACGGGCGGGCGCCGCTCGCGCGAGCAGCGAGCGGGCGCGCGGGCGCCGCCGTCTCTGTGTCCGCATGCCGTGGCTTCCGTCTGGCATGTAACTGATGCTCGGTGTCTCTGTTCTCTGTTCTGTTTTGGTTCGCACCGGCACAACTCGGCGTGGGGCGCGCGACACCAGTAGAAGGCATACCAGAGGTCTATTACTATGGTATGTGCAATAGCAAGTACCGCGCACTCACGCTGGAGCTGCTGGGACCCAGCCTCGAAGATCTGTTTGACCTATGTAACCGGCGCTTCACACTTAAAACCGTGCTCTTGATAGCTGTCCAGCTAGTAAGTATGGTTTTATTTTAGGGTAGTGGGGTTTGGTGGTGGTGGTCGGTACAGCATGCATCAACTGGTTAATCTGCCAGGTGCTTTGATAACCTACCTTCGACGTGCTACTAACCCTGCTCCGATGTGGGGGCCGGCCTTGGAAACGGAGGCTGCTGCCTCACCATCCGACTGGTCTGTGGTCTCCGGACTGGTCTGCGATCTCCGGTGGTCTGTGATCCTCCAGAAGGGCCTGGTCTCCCTGGATGTTCGGAACTGGTCTGGATGTGTGAGCGGTATCGCCGCCCTGGCAGCGGACATACCCTGCACCCCGCCGCGCCCCAGACGGACGGACGCCAGTCTGGCCATGGTGGCGCCCTGGGTTCCGGCGGCGTCGGCACGCGGTGCGCTGTGCCGGGACCTCGCCGGCCGGCCGGGGGGCGTGTCAGCGGCCGGCGTGGGCGGGCGGCTCGGCCGGCGCCGCCGGGACAGAGCTGGGGACCGCCACCGCCGGCCCGGCCCCGCGCCACGCCTGGCCGGCTGGATGGCTGCCAACGCCAGCCCACCGGGCCCCGTGGCCACGTCAGCTCCACTGGACGAGCGCCGTCAAAAACGGACGCCAGCCAGCGTAATGCTGAATATACGACGAGCTCAGCGCTTCTACGCCCGTCAGCGTACTTCAAAATGTCACTCTGGAATGCTGTGCATTCTCTGAGGTAAATAACATAAATATTCACCACAAAAGCCTAATTGCGGTAACGGTCTAGCTCATTCTGACGTGACGGCGACGCTTCAGTCCCAGTGGGCGCAAAAATAGCCGAGCCGGCTAACACAGAGTGGCGTAACCGAGGCATCCTGGCCCACTTATGCAATGGCGTCCCCAGAGGAGCTGCTAACGTTAGGAATGTTAGTCACGACATCGCAAACCGCTCGGGCCCGTGACGCGGTGCTCCCTGCGGCTCATTTCACCATTAGCCACCCGCAATGTACTGCCGCCGTCTGACTATATTGACATTCCGAGCGTCTTAGCTTAACACCCTTGGGCCTAGGGTTCGCGGAACGGGTGGTGGTCACTGGTCAGCGCTCCGCAGTCTGGTCCATTACGGAACAGCCTAACTAAGTTTGTTTCTTCTTTGGACAGGGCAGCCGAAAGCCCAATTGGCGTTGGCGTTTTTGCCGACATCCCATTTCAGCGGTGTTTTCTGTGCCGAAGCGGTGTAATCGTCCGCGAACGTCGGGCGTTGTTTGGAGTCTAATGTATACTGGAGCTGCAAAATCACTCCAAGGCTGGGTGTAACGCACAAGCAAGCGCTTCCACTGTCAGCTGTGGTCTCTCACCAGTACAGTGATGCCCTGTCTCAAGCTGTCTACTCCCAGGATCTCGGCGTGGGGTCGCACATCAGTGCGTTCCTCGTTCGTCTTACGTCGGCCAGTGATCCAGAGCGACAACTTCCACCCAGCAGTCGCCACAACTCGACGTCTCCCGACCATAACGGTGATAACCTGGCCGCAGCCCTGGTCCATGTCGCACTTTTTCCGCTGACTAGCTGACGCGAACTATGCGGCGCTGTCATATTTAGCGACAGCGGCCGCGAGCGATGGTGCGACGATTTGTTTTCACACGTCAGAAATAGGTGGCAGTTGTGGGCTCGGTGGGACATAGCTCGTGGCGACGGCGGCGGTGGCGGTGGTCCCCGCCCGCGGAGACCGTCTGTCGCGGCTCGGCAGACCTGATGACCGTCTGCTGTTCTCTGTCGCTCAGAATGGCTGGCCGATTCCCTCATGGCCGTGCCAGTGTCCCCATCCATTAGGAGGCATTGAGCCGCACTCTCCCAGCTTCGTACATGCATGCTTTGTCTGCTGTATCTCTTCTGTCTTCTTGCATGCTTAAAGTATAATATTTGTTACAAATAGCTGTCCTAGGCCGCGTATTTTGTGAACTACTCCAGCTCTGTTATCTTCTGTCGCGCTGCATGCATTTCTCTGTTTCAGCTCGATGTGCAGATGTTGATGCTAACTCACTAACAGTATGCGTGAGCCCTGCCGAACTATGTTTATGATCTCATATGCATGCGAGCCCGGGGCGGGCCCCTTGCCGCTGCACTCGGCAGGGACACGCCTCTCGCTTTGACCCACGCGCGGCTCAGTGAAGTGTTTATCCCCAGTCTCTGGCCGGTTTGCTGACACAAGCGTTCGGCGCCACGGTGCCGTTCGTTTGTGGCAACCTGTCGGAACTGTTAGTATCATTCTTAGAACGTGTACGCTCTGCTGTCCAAGGTGCGACCCTCAGACGCTCTTCGACAGTGTAAAGTCAGACGATTTTTGCGCTTACCCTCACGAATTGTCGATGCTATCTGTAACTTTTTATCTGGCTGATTTAGATTCGTGTTAACGTAGTGATAATGACAGCCATTACACGGAGTTCCCTGCATTTTCCGCTGACAAGTGATAGACATGAACACATCCTGCGTGCGGCTCAGCTGCAATCTGAAGGTATATCGAGATCTGGTATCTACATGACGCTGACCGTTCTTGGCGCTGTGTTTCAGTTGCATAGGATAGAATTCGTCCACTCCAAGCACCTTATCTACCGGGACGTCAAGCCGGAGAACTTCCTCATAGGGCGAAGCTCAAACCAAAAAGACAAAACAATCCACATCATAGGTGAGTATCCGCATCCGTCCGCCGCCCGGCTCCGCCTGCCGCCCGCTAAGTTCTCTCGAGCTGCGGATGCGAGCAAACGCGCCCGAACGGCGAGCCGATAGGCACCGACGGCCGCCTGTTTTGACGGCTGCCGTTCTCGCTCGGCTCTATCTAAATCTGTGACGTCACTGGTAGAGTCGAGCCGGTGTGGATGTGGGCAGGGGGTGGGGGGAGGGGATGCAGGCATCCGCGGGGCGTCGGCAGAGCCCGTTCAATCGAGCTGAAGCGTCGAGCCAATAGGATGTTATGCCTGGCGGCCCGGCGCCGTGGGTGTGTATGGGTGGGAGAGATACGGATCTGGGGGGATGGGGTGGGGTGGGAGGGGGGGGGGGGGAGAAATTCCGTCTGACGGGGCGGAAGCTTGGCTGTGTGTTGAATATGTTTAGGTAAAGTGTGAACGGAACTGTGCTTTTCCCACAGATTTCGGCCTGGCGAAGGAGTACATCGACCCGGAGACAAACCGGCACATACCGTACCGGGAGAACAAGAGCCTCACGGGCACCGCCCGCTACATGAGCATCAACACCCACCTCGGAAAAGGTAGGTAGAGACTGGAGACACAAACTACTTTAACAGTATCCCAGAATAGGCTGGTGGAATAGCTGACCAAGTGGCTGGACAGAGCTGCCGCAGCTAATTTGTATTCTTGTTATGATGCGCCACTGTGTTTATGACATTTGCAGACGTGTTATGCACCGTGTTCACGATACGCCCGTTTGTTTATTGGCCATGCCCGCGCTCTGTATATGCAGGCCGGTTTATTAGGCCACTCCAAGTCCGCCTGTGAGCCATCCGGTGATCTCAGTTTATCGGTGCTTTAACAGAGCCCGATAAAGTGGCCCCTATCAGTCGTGGTGATTGGTGCGGATCATCGGTTTACCCTCATTGGTGGCTGGTGGCCCAATGTGGGAGTGTTATGGCGCACAGTCACGTGCACATGTGACCCAGCTGTGAATTGTTCAGGATCAGACGGGGACGCGATTGCTCTGATCTTCGCTGTCGGCGTTGATGCGATGCGGACTTGAGGTCACCAACTAGCGACTTCCTTCGGTAGACGCACTGATGAAGGGAGGATAGACAACAGATGCGAGTCTCTTGAGCTCCGCTCGCCGACCGCGTTCCCCAATCGACCGGCGCTCTTTACCGGAGAACGGTACGGTACTGCTGATTATGGGGAGATGCCGGAAGCCGGCGGTAGACTGTCGGATTATCTTCCCTTTCCTACCGACCGCGCTCACGGAATGGTCGGAAAATACTTCCGGGAATCGATCGGAGTCTCGGGCTGAACCCTACCACCGCACGTCGTACTGTCAGCTCACGCCGAGATTGGAGGCGGGCCGGCCGTGCGCTGCGGCGTCTTATGACCATGTTTGTTGCCGGTTGATGGCATGTTTGCTGGTGGACCGTGTTTGCGAAGACTGGCCGCGGCCTATCTTCTTCGTTCGGTAGCAGCCATTTCTGCGATGGAGCCGGGTACTTCGAGACGAGATGCGTCACAGTGTGTCGCGATTTTGAGCACCCATCCTGCGTGGTGCATTGTTCCGGGTATTTACAAGCCGAGATATGATAACTCGCTGGATTTATGTAGTCTGTGGCCTTTGGGGTTTTATGGAGAGGCCAGTGCTCGGCCTGCGCAGTCAAGGGTGGGGTTCCCCTCTAACTACGCCGCCGTGCGACCGATAATAGTCAGCTGGGGATGACAGGCTCGACGTGGAACTGGCGGAAACGGATTCGTCGGGCATCCGGCTGTGGCATGTGCAGTGCGGTATTTCGTCCAGCAGTCGTGTCATTTCCTCTACACCCTTCCCCGGCAGTGCAAGACAGGATGAGGTAGTGGTTTGGATGCAAATAGCCGGGAATCTTCAGCACCGGCTGATAAGCTCCCAGACGCAATACCCGAGAAATAATGGCGACGTCTGAAGAGCCGAGGCAGTTCTCACCAGCAGCGGAACGATAACGAGGATAACTATACGAGCAGAGGAGAGTGATAGGTTGGGACGACCAGCAGATAAATAATGTAAGATTAAGGGATTGACTGTTTTTGGAGGGCTTGAAGTGGACGAATAGGTAGGGACAGGAAACGTAATTTATTCAATGCAGTGTGATTGCTGGCTGTTTCAACTGCAGGAAACATTTATCAAATGCAGTGCGATTGCTGATTGCTCATGGCGAATGGTTATGATGATTGATTTGTGGCAACCAACTGTTACGTTCAGTTGCTATGGTAGGTACCTTGAAGTGAACAGATAAGTTCAGGAAGCCTGATTTATCCACTGCAGTATAGTGCTTCTCATGACCAAGAACGAAGATAGTGATTTGTGGTAACCCGTTGCTCTCAGTTTGTTCGCCGCTCGGCCGTGACGCGCTGTTCCATTGGTCAGCGCGGCTCCGTTGTCGCCCGGTGCCACCGTCCGTTCCGCCCGCTGAACCGTAACGCTCGTCACCACCCGTCACCACGCCGGTCACCATTCCCGTCACCACCCTCCACCGTGCGCCGGCGGTCGGTCCGTCACAGCGGCCGGCAGGGATGACAGCCGCCGGACGCCGGCCGACCGCTCCGTCATCTCCCGTGCCGTGTGTCGTGCCGTCAGCCGGCGGCCGTCAGCGAACGGTGCGTTATGACAGTGACCGATTGGACAGGGTCGCCGCCGGCCGACGGCCCGAGCTGCCGCGGGCCGCGCGTCGCTTGGCTTGGCACCGCTGCCGCGGCCGCGCCACGACCTGCTGAGCTGCCGACGGGCTCTGACGGGGCGGCACGGGCTGGAGAGGTGCTCTCTGAACGTCGCGGCACGACAAGTCTATCAAGGCGGGCCTGGCTACACCACTGTCACCAATGCAGGCGGTGACTTGTGGCTGGTGATTGTTTGATAGCTAGCCACGCACCAGCGCCATTGACTGTTGGTGACCAGTGACCACCGGGTCGGCTGTCAGAGGGTGGCTATCACACCGACTTATTATAACGGCTTAGACTGAGACATGGCTGTTTCTGGTTGATGATGAGAGCAGGTGTCGTTTTTCCCTGCTCACGTGGGCTGTAGGAAGCAAAGGCGGTGAGAGATAAGGTGATATGTGAAAATCGTATGTCGGAGGAGAGATTGAATCAACAGTATGAGAGGCGAGAATGGTAGAGGCTGGAGTAGGGATAGCGATAAGATCCACAATCGAAAAGCGTGTGTTGTTTGTTTATGGTGACATTGTGTCGAACTGTTGATGGAATTATCACCGGGAATAGTATGTTTTCTGAAGGTGATACGCGAGACTGCTCGCATGACTCCGGAGGTATTTCATACTCCGGAGGTATGTTTGCGTAGGCGTTTTCCCGTCGCCAGCCTTGAATCTCCTGCTAAACCGAACAATATTTGATAAGTTGGCAATGTCGTAAGTGGTTCTGGACTTGACGGCGAACGAAACTCGTGCGAATCGTTCGTATCTGTTAGGATACTTTATTTCAACGGTGCCAGTTCACAGTACACACAGACTGTTGAGCTTTCTTCCTCTTCACACGAATAGCTCACCATGTTGTCGGGGTTGTGTTGGCTGCTGAAGGTTTACGATACCACTTACGTTTATGTACTGTCTTGCAGCAGTGATAAACACTACTATCAAACGAGTTTTATTATTCAGTTATCGTGTCACAAACCGAAACATGTTTTCTCTGGCGTAGCGGTGGCGCACATCTGATGATTTGCAGTGATGAACATTGCCGTCTCAGCTAATGAAGGTAGTTAACTTTCATGGCACCCGTTGACATGCTGCCTTCCATGACATATTATTTCACATCGAATGTAGCAGCCTGTCCTGATTGATACCAGCTCGCATGTCCTGTATCGCTGAGAATCAAATCGCCATCATTAACATGTGTGTGGCTAGCAACCCCTGTGAGATTGCAGCCATAACTTTCACTGAAAGACTGGTTATTTACGAGGCTCGTTCTAGCACGCTGTACCCCAGACAGACCATATAGTATGTTTTCCTTTGAAAAATCACCTATTTCCTCGTCAGAAGAGTTACCGTAGCTAAGGCTGGAATCATAAAGCACAATCGCTAAATCTACAGGTGTAACAAGTGGACCCAGTGCTCTAATAAGACCTTTGGTTTCTTGTAGGTCAATGCATTTACCAAAAGCAGCGGTTGGATACGCCTAGGACCATCGCATAAGCCAATTCGTTTTCTGATAAGGATGAGATAGACTGTTGCATTAGATGTTCGTTTGGCCGATTTAATGTGTGTAGAACAGCCATTTCTACACCTTTTTTCAATCCGAATCGGCATCCGTTCATTCAAATACGGCAGCGGGCACCTTATCTCGACAGGCACTCCAACAACTCGACACTGGAGCACGCATTTCGACACGTTTCACGGATTTAGACTAGCATCTGCTGATATTCGACCAGGGTCAATGAACAACGGCAGGGGCATTTAATATCGACAAAGGGCATTCTGTTTTGTCATATTGCATTTTACGTCGGCAGCTTGCAGCCATGCTAGACAAAGGTCAATTTATCTCATCAGTGAATTAAGCAACTCTTATCTTTTCGGATAGGCATTTTAAGAATGTGCGTTAAAATGCTCCACGGTACTGTAAAGAGACACTCAATATGGGCGCTTGGTTGCTAAGTAACCACACCTTTTTCAATCCGAATCGGCAACCGTTTATTCGAATACGGCAACGGGCACCTAATTTCGTCAGTCGCTCTGGAACACCGGTTCGTCCCTAACATCAACCGCTTCCGGCACACAAGCTGACCTCATTCGAGGTCACCACCCTTGCGTCACTCTGTGACAATGTGGAAGCACTGGCAAATCCAAAGGGCGACGGGGGTCATTCGGGGCCACGCTCCAGGCGAATCCAAAGGTTGACGGGGGTCATTCAGGGCCTCGCTCCTTTCAACGCATCTAAAGTTGACAATGTTTTAGCCGTATTTCTTGCATGAAAAACAAAAATATTGATTTTTTCATTTGTGTCGATCTGTCGACACATTGTGAGTGGCGCTGACCGCCAGCGAGATGGAAATGACGTGTCACCGTAGAGCGGCAACAATGTTTGCAGGACGGCGGTGTGGTCAGTCATGGTCAACTGTATTTCTGGACAAAAAAAAACTGCCCTCTAGAAAGGTGGAAACCTTACGGGCCGACCCATCGATCGCTTTGGCTGCATATCCGTAGCGAGACAGTTTTATATCGGCGCCTTGTCAGCCACCGCAGCTAACCGGTCACTGGTAGACTCACCCAAATGCTTCCTCCGCATGATCCTCTCATCTCACGACTCTGACATGGCTTGCTACATAGCCTACTCACCCTCCATTCACAGAAAAAAAAACGTTTAGACCTTAAAACCACGGTCTTGGCGTATTTTGTGTTCCATTAATCCAAGGGAAGTCTAACAAAAGGAAAATGCCATAAATTCAAGTGGTAAGCATTGGAAACACATCAATATACAAGATGTGGTATGAAATTTGCTTGATTTTGCTTGTTATAACGGCAACGAAATTGAATGACCATTGCCATTGTAAAATGAAATTTGCCTTTTTCCAATGCCCGATGTCACAGACCTATGCCGTGTGCCCAAATCCATTGGCCAGTGTCGAAACCACGCTCAGTGTCGAAATTAAATGCCCCATGTCACGCTGCTGCACTATGCCGAGTTTGAGGCGTGGTTTGTCGAAAGCGCACTCCGGCTGACGTTCCTAATGCAGATCTGCCGAAACTAACTGACCGGATGCCGATTCGGATTGAAAAAAGGTGTATGTAGGAGGTGCTGTCGGAAACGTGTTTTGTATGACCCTTGGACAACAACCCATCACGTCCGATTGTGTTGAGCAAAGGTCAAGGTTCGCGCCTTGCTAGCAAGACATCCGGGATGTAACGTCTTGTTAACACCACTTGGCTTTTGTGTGGGTGCTGATAACTGCCTGAGCTGTCGGACGAGAGAAAGCAATTACATACGTGGTGCATGGCTTATGTTGAATTGCACATGTTTGATATGACCGATTTAAGGGCATCTGCTCATGACTTTCATCATGTTGTATGACAAACACATTGGTCTCAGACTCTCAGCAAGTAGCAGGCTGCGATCCATCAGTTTGAATCTACTGCTGCCCAATGCCCATGAACCATCGCTCCCGGTTGCACAATGCACAGCCCCTGTTGCCAGCGCTCCCCGATAACGGGATGCTACGCCCGCCGGCCTACCGATCTGGTTTTCCTTTACAAGGAAAACGGCCGGCGCACCGCACGGTTGTCACTTTCCTTCAGCAGTCACCGGCCGGGCGAAGACACGCGACAGGGCGCCACGTCGTCCTTGGCACGGGTCGGGGTCACCGGGTCGTCCCGTGTCGTCACCGGTGGTTCTGCGACTGCCGTGACGCCCCTGCTACGTGATGATGTCACCTGGGGTGGGCGCCGGGCGGCAGTTGTAGGCGTGTGATGCGGCTGGGTGTGGCCTGTCCCGGCGCCCCTGGCCCCTGTCGACACCGGTAGACATGCAGCGAGGGGAGTGGCGCGTCATGGGTCGCTGAAATCGCACCGCTGCAGGCACCGGACGTCCGCCTGCCGTGCGAGCCGGGGGAGGGGAGGGGCGAGCCATCAGCCCGTGTCCACGCTACAGCTGAACAACGGCAGACTGGGGAGGGGTAGGGGCTCATACACTTACATTTTATGATGTGCTGTGCGGCTTGGGTACCAACAGACCCCCACCCCCCCACCCCCCACCGGCTGACATGCTCCCCAGATACTCTTTGGTCCGCCTGCACCCCTGCCGTCCACACGAATCGACCGATGATGCCATGCGTAAGGAACTGCAGCTCTGCGAAAGAAGATTGAATGAAGGAGTGAACGTCAAACGAAAGTTGCGTCGCTGGACGTCACAGCTCGATGCTGAACACCTGACTGCGATGGCGGCGCCGGGCCGACGATGAAAAACGGCACCGTCGACAGCGTCTGTCGACGGTGACGACGCGTCGTGGCCAGCGGCAGGTTGGAGTCCGGCCAGAGATGATTGAGATGTCAGCCGGCTTGGATCAGATTGGACCAGGCCGATCGAGGGGCTCCAGTTCAGGACAGCGGGATCGATCACCCGCTTACGTCACCGACGGTCGCAGCGCGTGTGGTTTTGAACTGCTGTTCAGCCAATGTGTCAGCGTGACGGCGGTGTCGATCTCGGCTGACGTGGTCTTCTGGTGCGCTGAAGTTGTGTCCCTGAGAGCCGAGAGGCCACAGAGTCAGGACGCTGAGAGACGTGGCAACGTAACGGCAGGGGTGGACCGCTGTATGCACCAGCAGCCGACATCGCGTTGTGGGTGCGGCCGTCCGTCTCATAGGGCAGTGTGCGGACGAACTAGACAAGAATTCCGGTTTCTACTGGCGTGACGCGGGTCTGCTTTTCGCGGCGGTACTGGCGAGCTGATGTCCCGATAGCTGCACCGGCCGCCGCTTGGTGTCGCACCGGTGTCGCACCGGCCGCCGCTTGGTGACAGTCCTATCGCCAACCGCATCTGACGGCACCCTCTGTGTGGCCTCTTCAGTCAGTCCCCGCTGCCGCTCTCCACACCTTGGTCTCCGCACCCTTCATCCTTTGGTCATCGCTCCTCAGTGTGCCCGGTTTACCGAGAGCAATCCCTATGACCCGCCACAGGGCCGGGTTTATCAGAGCACCCCGCTGCCTTGACATTGCATGCCCATGCTGCCAATCTCCTAACCGGTTCAACGGTGCAGGACACAGATGTTAGGCAGAGCTAATGCATTCAGAGTGTGCATCGATGGCGGCCGGAGGGGCTGTCTCATTGGTGACAGTGTTCTGCTAACACGTGTGGTGGGGCCTCGTGGCCATGTGTTACCGAAGTGACCTTGCCGCCTACACGGACTTTTGAGCAGCTGCGGCTTGCCGATCGTTGTGGGATTTACACAAGCTGACTGTATAAATGTGACCGATGTCGGACTTGTTTGTTGCATTTCATGTCGAGTTGTTGTGCAGGTGAGGATAATAGTTGAGGTGCGGCTTGGGATGCTGTTTATTGTCGGGAACAGTTAACTACAGCGATGACTCTTGAAGCTGCGGTTAGTCGTAGCCATATTCGTGGCATGCTACCCTGATATGTCACACTCCCAGTGTGCAATATTCGTGTTTCCTTCATCCGTATCGTAAATCATTCCTCGACAAGCCCAACGAAGTATCAAAAACAGAAACCACTTGACCGCCCTTGCCCATACGTCGACGCGTTCTGTCATATTATATCGGTGACCCCATTGCCTTGCACTGCCATATCTCCCTGACATTATCCAGACACTGCTCAGAGCAGACCCGACATGCACGCTCTATCGAACGTGCTGCTACTGTGCCTCAGCGGACGGGGCTGCTGCTCGGTGTCTGCCATATGGGGCCCGCAATAGAGGCCTGGGTAGTGTCCTTCGCCGGCGTTGAACGGGCCCCCGATCGATGCATTGATATTCCACAGCAGGGCGAACTACAATGACCCGTATGAATTGTGACCTCGCTCCGTAGCCTAAATCATGACATTGGTGTTCTTATCCATGCTCTTTGTATTTAATCATGATCGCATAGTGTTGTGAAATCCGTCGCAACGTATGTGATAGACATAGTGTCTGTCATACTGTCAATCTGTCCCGCCATGTGTACTGTGTATCGTAGCGCGTGTGGCAGCCTGTGCCATGACCTATGCTGTAACTTCAGCGCTCTAACCTGTTCCCTTTCTGTCGTGTTTCAGAGCAGAGCCGGCGGGACGACCTTGAGGCTCTGGGCCACATGTTCATGTACTTCCTGCGTGGCAGCCTGCCCTGGCAGGGTCTCCAAGCAGAGACACTCAAGGAGCGCTACCAGAGGATCGGAGACACCAAGCGGGCCACACCGGTCGAAGTCCTCTGCGAAAACTATCCAGGTTGGTAGCAATCGGAACAATGGAAGGAGAAGTGAAATTTAATGATGGATTTCATCAGAGCACTGGAGGTTTGTCGGAATACGTTTCCGCAGTGGAATAAGTCCAAAAGTAAGGGATGTTTCGTGGAAACGAATCGTGTCAATGTCTAACGTTGGACCGTGCGGTCTTAGGCATTGTTTTTCGCGGCGTCTGTCCGTGATTGCTGGATGGCGTGAGTCGGCTTCTCCACATCCGTTGAATTGCGTCAGTATTAGCATGAGTCCGTCTGCTCCGGGGATCCGAGAGTTGCGTGTGTTGTGCTCAGAAAGCGTTAAGTTGCGTGATTCGGGTCCTAGCTTCTTTTGCTTCTCTACGGTAAGTGGAGAGCGTCTTCCTCCGCTTAGGCAGATTGATTGCGGTGGTTTACTACGGTTATAGCTATGGCCCGTCCATGATTAGCTGATCGTTCATCGGTCAGCAGCGAAGTGGCCTGTGTCGTGTGGTCCGACTCGTGTCGGCTCGCGGTCAGACGTGCGGTGCCGGAGGACAACGTGCGGCCAACACGGCATCCGTCCAATTATCGACGGCCGGTCAGAAAACAACTCCATATGGGTGCCAG